CGTCGGCATCTAGCGGAACGGCGGTTTCGATTAGAACGTTACGGGGCCTCCGGAGGCTATCCGTAACGTTCGGAGTCGGCGCGTAGATGGCTGCGTTTATCACTAGAGGGTTGGGATCTGTCTCGGCCCTCTCGAAATAGCACCGAGATATTTTCTTGAAATACTCAGAGATCGTCAAAAGTTGACAGTCTCTGTGTAAATCGGAGTTTCGCTGGTACCACCGAGCTCCGGTGGCTATGCGAATGAATTTATTTTTGACTACTTGGAGGTCGTACAGGTGTATATGGTCCGCGTATGCGAAAACTACGCTTGCGTAAGACACGATAATTCTTACGCACGCTTTGTATAGATCTTTGCTCTTGCTGTTGACTAGTGGGTGGAGGCAACTGGTGACGAATTTTGCACGGTTGCGGACACTGCGAATGTGTTTCGCGAATGTCATACCTTCGTCGAATGTAACCCCTAGATATTTGGCCGTTGGTTGCCAGGGCATCTGGCGGCCGACTTTTTTTTATTTTTTATTTATTTATTTTATTTATTTTATTTTCAAGGGAAACATACATAATTTTAGTCTAATACATAACACATATTAATCTTACAATTAACAATAAAGTTTCCACAGTTAAGTAACTCATCGACAACAAGCAAACATCATAACATACTTTGGTGTGTAGAACCAAAATTAAGTTAAGTTATGGCAAAATATAATATTAATGTGAAATATCAATTTTACCCATTACAGTTTCAATTTCCTTTTTAAACTGTCCATATGACAGAGAAAATACATCAACATCTGAAAAAATGTTATTATAAGAATTACATGCACGAGTTATAAAACTGTTCTTGCCATATTTAGTGCGCATTATAGAAGTACAAAATAAAAGTTTCTTTCTAGCACTTATCCTTTGGCATCTAAAATTTATTTCACTTAGAAGTGGTATGGAGTCGACCCTATTATGAATGATTTTATATAAAAACATCTGATCCCTGACAGTACGACGAGATTTTAGGTCAGAGGCCAATCTACACAAAATAGAGGCATCACCGGCTGATCTAAATTGTATATGCTTCAGAAATTTATTGTGAATTCTTTCAATTGACTCTATATAAATATTATATTGAGGATTCCAAACTGTTGAGCAGTATTCTAATATTGAGCGGACCAATGAGTTATACAAAATAATTAGAGTTGAGGGTTTTTTAAAGTCTTTAGTAATTCGTAAGACAAATCCAAGCATCTTATAGGACTTGTTAACGATTTTATCAATATGAGATTTAAATATTAATTTTTGATCCAAATATACGCCCAGGTCTCGCAACTCGGTTACTCGATCTATCGATTCATTATTTATTTTATAATTAAATTTTATAGTTTTGTTTTTCCTGCTGAATGTAATAACATTACATTTTTTTATATTTAAGAATAATAGATTATTTGAACAATATGAGTATAATCTATTAATATCTTCTTGTAGTAGCTCACAGTCATGTTCGTTTTGAATAACTTTAAAAATTTTCTTATCATCAGCAAATAGAAGTATGTTAGAATGTTGGAATTGCAAAAGAACGTCATTTATATAAATATTGAACAAAAGAGGACCGAGATGCGAGCCCTGGGGAACACCCGAAGATATTGGTAAAAACGAAGAACAGTACCCCTTAACTGCTACCGCTTGAGTACGATTACGCAAGTAAGATGCTAGCCAGCGCAGGAGGTCACCGTGCACACCGATTTGGTCTAGTTTTTTGATAAGGATTTCATGACATATTTTATCAAAAGCTTTGGAATAATCGGTGTACACGGCATCCACCTGTAGCCCTGCATCCATTGCTTTGTGAACAATATTAAGATATTCGCATAAATTACTCTCTGTAGATTTCCTAGTCATGAAACCATGCTGCTGGGTCAACAAGGCGGGTCTGATGGTAGGGTATATAGCATCATACACTATTTTCTCAAAAAGCTTGGGGATAGTATTAAGTTTGGATATCGGACGATAATTTTCTATATCTTGTTTATTACCGGACTTAAATACAGGTGTAACAAAGGACTGTTTCCAGGCATATGGCATCACTCCCGTTTTCAATGAAAGATTAAACAATCTAAAAAGCGGCTCGGATAATTGCTTGTAGCAGTTCTTCAATAAAATTGGAGGAAGCCCGTCAGGACCAGCGCCTTTATTAGTATTAATGTTTTTGAGGTATGATTCAATTTTTGCTTTATCTATAAAAAACTTCTTCATTACTTCATTAGTGTTTATCTAATTTGTCTACAATTCATTACACTCAATGGTCACATTCTATTTTCGTAGGCTGTGTAATGGTGCTGGTAAATAATAATAGAATGATAAAATAGACTCTAATCACCAAACAGTGAGTAGATGGACTTGGTGAATTAAAGATATTCAAAAATTTCAAATCAATTTTAAAATGATAATAATTAATTTTACATCATCCGTATTGATTACAGTATGAATCCTAGATCCCAATACACGTACACTAAGGCCCGTATTAATAAACGTTACTCAACGACGAACTCAAGTGCGTAATTATTTGATACGCCCTCATTACGATATCAGCATCTTAAGATCGTTGCTGATTAATAAACACATAAAAAACAGTATTTCAAAACTCTGTACTTAGGAACATTGTTCTGTGACTTGCATTAAAATACACACACTTGAGAGTCGAGTTTCCTTTCCGCCGCACCGCATCTTGAGATATGTTTATTAATAAAAAAGAGCATAACCTCAAGATTGTACTCAAGTGCGTGTACATGAGGTGAGTAACGTTTATTAATACGGGCCTAAGTAACTTTTCTACGTGGTAGAGACACGCTCCAGTCATATTATAGTTGCGGGACGAATTGGTCGGCTCGACAGGGGTAGGACCACGCTCTCATAGACAATCAGTGGCAGTTAATAATGGATTCCATTATTTTGGAGAACAAGGAGGTGATGGCGATAGGCCTGTTGGACGGGTCTGAGCGGTCGCCTGACCGTTGCCATCTCTGGAACACCCTCATGGGTAGGATGCAAAGAAAGACCACATTCCTTCCCAGTCCACCAACCTGTAATGCCAAACATGACAGCAACCTGCAGAATGCAACCGCGAGGGGAGCGTGAGTGGCACCACACTCCGGATCAGAAAATGGTCCGAGGAGCCGAGAGGGGCATCGACAGAAACCTGATATCCGTACGTCTGAGAGGTCAGCAGAAGTTAAACAGATCTCCCCGTATGATCGGTTAAACGTGAACCCAGCTATTCGGCGTGGTGGGCGTTGAAATCGCCAAGGATCACGATCTCTGCGGATGGGACCTGTTGTAGCAAGGAATCTGTAGCCATTTGGACGTGTTCGATGAGTCGTTCTGTTTCGGCATTACCGCTATGGAACCTATAGAGGCAACCGTAGACGCGCGGATGATCGTCGCCGTCTACGCGTAGCCAAAGGATGGACAGGTCCGAACCTACAAAACTGCCGAGGCGTCGAGAACAGATGTCCTCTCTGACGCATAAGCATACTCCAGCCCGAGGCACAAAGGAGTGTTCCAATTTATACCCCGGGTAGAAGAGAAAAGAAGTATCAACCGGAGACGACACCTGCGTCTCGGTCAGAAAGAGCAAGGCCGGCTTCGCCATCTCGAGATGGTAGTGGACGGCGTTTAGGTACGAGTGAAGTCCCCTGATGTTACAGAAATTCACGGATAGCATGACAGGGGTCGCCTCGGTCTTGTTGCTCAGTTTGCTCCGAGCAGGAATACGCGGGGCAACCTGAGCACCCACGCTCAGGAGTGGAGTAGCATGGTGGTTACCCAACCTGAGCACCCAAGCTCAGGATTGGAGTAGCATGGTGGTTACCCTCCTGGGGTAGTTTTTTATTTAATTCCGCTACCATGTTGATGGGGAGGGGGGGGGATTGGGTCTCCGGCCACCTGCACTCACCACACGAAACATAGAAGCAGAGCTTCCACTTCACGCCGGTATTCTGTGAGGTCGTAGTACCAACCCGGCTCGAGCCGCAAAAGCTGCCGCGTGGCTCTACCATCGTTAAGTATCATATATGCTACATAATTAACAACACAAAATGAATTAGAAATAGCTTGGTAGCGATCATCTCATACCCAGGGGTTATTATCATCTATATTCATACATATATGTAATATTTTAACTTAAATAAGGTAAGGAAATTATCCTTTCATCCCAGTTAAAGAAATACAGTATTGTACCCATCGAAAATATATTTCGTACTAAAAAGTTAGTAGTACATACTTACTATAATTTATGTACTCGTATATTGTCAGGATAACCGTACAATTACAAAACTGTATCATAAATCTTACTCTCTTGTTCTCTGTTTCATTTTCAAACTTTTTTTCGGAACTTTTCTTCGTCGATTTTAACACCCCATAGTGGTGTTGGGAGTACTGCTACTGATGTTAGTGGTGACGGGGATAGTGCACGCAATTGAGGGAGGGCGGGAGGTGCTCTACAAACTAGGTAAGACATATCATTTTGTTAAGTGGCGAAGCTTGCGAAGTCACTTATTGATTTCACGATGTCTGTCCGTCTGTCCGTCTATCCGTCTGTCCGTCTGTCCGTCTGTCCGTCTGTCCCACGATTATCTCGAGAACGGTTTTGAATTTTCAAATTCTGTTTTCAGCAATCGATTACTGATCACCCAGGCATCTGAATCTCCTATTTTGAAACTGATTGCTCAACGGCAACCGTTAGAAACCGCTACAAAGCTGATTGCTTCGCCACTTTGCTATGCTGTTAGCTTGCTAGGTTTATATTATTAAGTGAATCTTAGCAGATTGATTTTTAACATCTTTAATGTAATGACTTTCCGCAAAGTAACGCCTGATTGATTGTCTGTATTAATTCAGCTATTAGTGACTTTTAGAAACAATGATAAAATTCAACGTTAATAGAAGCTTTAAATAAAACTGTGTTTTGTTTGTGTTTTCAACGTTTTCTAAAACTAGTTACTAAGTACTCACAGCAATAAGCATTCCGCTTTGGTCGAAGTATTCCGCGACCGGCATGACGTGCCCGTAGAAGTTGTCCAGCTCCATTCGCGCCAGGCTGAGCACTACGTGACCGAGCCGCGCCCCGTACTCGATCTGACGCTCCAGCACGCGCTTCCGCCAGCTCACCAGAACCACACCAGTAATGGTCTGGATCTAAAAATACAATAAATTTGTCTACCCTCTTTTCTGAGAGATTAGGGATTAGAGGACAGTCAGCCAAGCTGCTTCAGTATCGTTTGACAGGCTTTACATTATTTTCAATTCTTTAATACCTACTCGTATTTCTATTCCTTCTTAAAAAAATTTAAATATTCCTTTTAATCTTTCGATTAATGATGTACCACAATGTCTACTTAACTCGGTACTTAAAATAGCAATTAACATCGCCAAAGACCGGACACAGGTTAATAGTAACTACTAAGTTACCAAACTACGAGTTAAAACCAGGACTCTGGACAACTCTGATAGTTTTATGCTTATTTCTTTTCCTTTTTTTTAAAGAATAAAGGTGACAAACGAGCACACAGTCCACCTGATGATAAGTGGATGCTGTGGCCCATAGACACCTACACCTATCCTCGATTAAGAATCAAAATGCAAATGTATTGTTTCCACTGAGAAATAATATGGAATGCCTCATTTCCAATAGACTGGGTCTTCGGTTACAGAACCGTGTAGCAACAAATATACGAAACATATCAGCATTAAACTATTATTTCACGCCGGTATTCTGTGATAACGAGGTCCTTCTCAGGTTGAGCCGATCCATTCATGCTGCAACCATAATATAACTGCAGTATTTACCACGTATAAAAATACTTTATTTTGTAGCACGTAAATTAAGGAAATTGGAATCGATTTGTGACAAAATAATTTTGTTTGGCGTTACGAAGAAATGTATTTTATCAACCGATTTCAAAAAGGAGAAGGTCCTCAATTTGACTGTTTTTTTTTTGTGTGTTATCTCAGAACTTTTCTAGGTGAACTGAATTTTATTTTTTATTTGAAAACTGGTGCTTCTCATGTGACTACATATAAATTTGTTCAACTACTAGTAGTTGTTTTTGAGTAATACTTAATAATGCATATTTAATTAACTTCCACTACATTGATGATGTTCTCATTTTTTTATTTATATTGAAGCCGGTGTATAAAATTTTTAATTTTACTACTTGTTGTGTTAAATTTTGGCTTAATAATATTTTGATGTTACACAAAAATTTCAACAAGCAAGCAAACAGTACACCATAATAGATAATAATCGCAAGGACAGTCACCCTCGAATACTAAATCGTTGCCATTATTCTGTCTTATTTTTTTAGTACAAGCAAAGAAGATGATGTTGCAGAGACTGTTGAGGCATCATTATGAACGGTGTTGCTGTTGGTGTGAATATTTTATTTATTTTGGTGATATATATATACATGGGTTATTTTTCAAAGAAAAGACAAATTATATAAAAATGAATCGCTGAATGTGTTGCTAAGCGCAAATCTCGAGAGCAGCTGAACCGATTTCGCTAATTCTTTTTTTATAATATTCCTTGAAGTACGAAGATGGTTCTTACTTCTAAAATTTAAAAAAATGCCTGAAAAAGTCTAAGACCAACACTTTTCTATATTCCCATAAAAAAAATTGTAAAATACTTAAAAGCCAATTTGAACTTTATATAATACCATAAAGTTTAAGTGTTAGTGTAGGGGTTCCGGGAAGGCAAAACAATTAAGTGACGTTACTATCGTAGAGATATTAATGTCAATATTTGTCAATATTTATACACACTGGCAGATAGCTGATGTTATTAGGAATAACTTGGGCTGCTTTTATTTTAGGGTTCCGCGAAAAATAACTCCACGCGAGCGAAGTCGCGGGGAACAGCTAGTAATATATAAAAAATGATATACTGTTGTTTGACCCCAGATTATTTACCTTTTATTTCTTTAGAAGTTCGCTTATAGAAGTGAAGGTACAATAATTATATTTAGGACTTTGACTTTTATAGCCATAGTAAACGTGTAGTGGCGATGGAAGAATATTAGGGGATAATAGGGCCCAAATCGTCCCATGAATGTCGTAAAAGGAGAAAGAGGGAAGCTGCTCAAAACAACTCGTGGTAGGGTTTTGGCCTGGTAACTATGGCAAATATACAGCAACTTATGGGGGAGGCCTATATTGTTGTTTATGACTTTAATAGGAACCACTTCTCCAGTAAAATTTTACAAACTAAATTTTTCATTGCGAAAATCAATCTTATATCATACTTTATTGTTATAGGTATATTTTTACTTGAGAATTTTATTTTATGAATAGAATTCTTAATAGAATTCTTCGATAAAAATAATGATATATTAAGTAAGTAGGTAAGTAGTACCTATGTTATTTTTTTACGTCAGGCTGTAAACGTATGATGTTTTTTTTTTGCTGCGGCCTATAGACATCTACATCTACCCTCTATTACAAATCAAAATGCAGATGCGTTGTCACCCGTGAGGACTAAGATGTAATGCCTCATTTCCAGTAAAAAGGGTCTCCGGTTCTCTACACTAACCATACAAAACACAGTAGCGTTGAGCTGTTATTTTATGCTAGTATTCTGTAAGAGCATGGTCCTTCCCCTGTCGAGCCGACCCATTCGTGCTACAACTATACTACTAATATAGCTGCAGCAAGGCTGTACCACGTACAATATGACATATGATGTGACAATATGATGTGACATGATTTCGCATTGAATTTCACTTATAAGGTCGACAAATGAGCACGAAGTCTACAAGGTAATGGTATGCTGATGCTGTGGCCCATACGCTATAACATCTTGTTTTTTCAATTCTAATAAAAATAAAGAAAATGAGAAAGACCAGATTGATGCAATTTTTAATATCGTTTCAAGCACTTAGATCAATCTTTACCATTTTGGAAAAGATTTTTGAAGTCCAAATTAGTCATTTAGCCTTTATGCGTATAGTCCTAATCAACTACGTCCTTGACATGCTCCCTGTAGATTTTTGTCAGGTCTTTCAAGAATCGATTAACGAGGACAGTGAAAACATCGATCAACTATTCAAAGATTTCGGTGGAGTTAATGCGCCTGTCAGCGCACTTATATGGGGCGTTTCTTTTGTCCTTGTAAATATAAAAGACTTTATAAATCATAATATTATTGATCAGTTCGCTGTGTAACTTGTGTACCAGTGAGTGTGGAAAACATACTTTATTATTTGTAAATTGCGTAAATATACTAATCCTAACTATATAATATTATAAATTCGAAAGTGAGTTTGTTTATTTGTTTGTTTGTTATGCTTTCACGTCTAAACCGCTAAACCGTTTTGATGAATTTTGCTATAGAGACAGATGGGATCTTAAAGAAGGACATAGGCTACCTTTTATCATGATCTCGGACTTACGCGGATGTAACCGCGGGGCGCAGCTAGTGGCGAAAAAAAATGCAAATCATTCAAATTTGGCGCGATTCTGTTCCCAGCCCAATCATTTCATCTTCCCGTTGGGTTATTATTTGATTTAAAGTACTTTTTGTTACTAAAATGAAAACTATGTAAATGGAATATAACGCAAACTTAATCACATGTAGTTTAAGCAATTAAAGCGTCGAATAGAATTTCGAGTCGATTTGGATTCGATATTGAAGTGAAATTTCTTTATCCACGTAGTGGAGAAGCTCATGCAGCCCGGCGGTATACTATTATCTAACCTACTTATGTAAAATATAAAATAAAAGAAAAATGACATGTCGTAAAGAAGTTTCACTTCGCACGTGTGTACACAATTACACGCACACATGAAAAAAGTTCATCAGTCTACGAACAAGCACGTGCACAGATCCTTATAAAAATAATTAAAATTAAAATTTTTGTACAACCGACTTCAATATAAAATATTAAAAATACATGTGAAGTACCAGTTTTCAAATAAAAAAAGAATCATCGAAATCGGTACACCCAGTAAAAAGTTATAAGGTAACACACATAAAAAAAACATACAGTCGAATTGAGCACCGTCTCCTTTTCAAAAAGGTCCTTTTCAAAAAACTTCAAAGTCGGTAGAACAAGAAGCCGACATAAAGCAAAATAGTGACAACTAAAATAAAATATGTATCTATTACCATATAAGCTTCAGAAGTCGGTGCTAAAACATAGTGTAGAAGTGTAAAATAATTAAAAGTCCGACTTCAGAAACTGATATATCGGCTTTTACTTTTTATATTTTATTTTATTCTTTGACCCTTTTGAGTACTCCAAGAAATATCACAAGTTTGAATATTTGACATATCCGTTCGAGATAAAATAAAGAGACAAAAAGTTCGATTGTCATGTAAATAGTTATATGAAAACCTTTGCCGAATATTCTCCACCCTTAGGAAAACGTTAAACAGCCTAGTGTAATTTATAGCAAACACCAAAAAATACTTTGAATTTTAAAAAAGGCCTACGACATTCATTTATATACAGTGGACTTTTGCAGTTTGGTTGATGATGGTTAATGCATTATTGTATTATTTTCTGCCGACTTCCAAAAAGAAGACGGTACTCAATTCGACTGTATGTTTTTTTTTTATGTGTGCTACCTCATTACTTTGTACTGGGTGAACCGATTTGGTTGATTCTTTTTTATATGAAAGCTGATAATTCTCGTGTGGTCCCATATGAATTTGATCAAGGTCAAACCAATAGTTTTTGAGTTATTATTAAATAACTTATATTGAAGTCGACTATACAAAATTTTTAATTTTAAATTATTATCCCAATGCTAAGCGCTCGCTGTTAATTGCACAGTACGCGAGCAACCCGGATTTGATCCCCACCGGCACCAATTAAATTGTTTATACGTGCTGATTTACCACGTACTCGGTGAAGCAAAACATCGTGAGGGAAACCTGCATGTCTAAAAAATAAGAAAAAAAATATTTCGAAGACCTGTGAAGTTCGCCAACACGCATTGGAGCAGCGTGACTGATATTTTCCTGCCCCAAAACCCGCTCAGAGATGAGAGGAGGCTTCTGCCTGTGCAACGTATATATAGGCTGTAACTTTATCTTTTTCTGCCGACTTCCAAAAAGGAGACGGTACTCAATTCAACTGTATGTTTTTTTATGTGTGTTACCTCATAACTTTTTACTGGGTAAACCGATTTTGATGATTCTTTTTTTATTTGAAAGCTGGTACTTCTCGTGTTCAATACCATATGAATTTGATCAACGTCAGACCAGTAGTTATTGATTATTCTTAATAACTTATATTGAAGTCGGCTGTACAAAATTTTTAATTTTTAATTATTTCTATCCCAATTATTTCCGTCTTGACACGAGCACACAAATTCCGGAAAAAATTGGTACTCTGTTTGTCTCAGTAGATCTATAGCTTGTTCAGAAAAAATATAAAAAATTCTCACCTTTTCAGTATACTCAGCCACATCCCGCATGGAACGTGGGTAGCCAGAGACCAAGTAAGTCTTTGCAGTAGGCGCCATTTTCATCTCCAGCATCAAAACCTCCGCCACGGTCGTGCTGGATAAATTGCCGAAGTCTTGCATATCTGCCAAAAATATTGTCAGTGTTTCTCGACTCTTTTATAAAATTGGAGTGACAAACAATCTTACAGTGCATGGTAATTGTAATGATGGTAATTGGCTACTGCAGCGCATGGACTTTATCAACTTCGAATAAAGAAGACTACACATTGAATAAAACTATTTTTACGGATTTTATCGCGTTTAATTAACTTATTTTATATTCCCGACGTTTCGGTTGCTTTCCAGCAACCGTGGTCACGGGGGACTGAGGTGATTGACGTCCCGATGTCAAAGTTAACCCGGAGTACCTTCAGCTTTTTAATTATTAATTTTGGTTCGATCTACGCAGAATGAACTAACTGTGTCTTGAAGTCTTGCAGTGGTATGCTTGGGTTTAGTTTTAATTTTATGAATTACAGGATCCCAAGCAGGTGGTAGTACCCAGCCTCCCTCTCTATTGAAATTAGGATGTTTTTTAATTTCAATACCTAGCCTCACGTATCATCCTTGGCAGGAATCGATGTTCTCGCTCGAGGACTTGTGGTTTATCAAATCTAATGTAATGGCGGGGGCCGTCTAGGATATGATCACAAACTGCAGACTTCCCGGAACGTTGGTGCTTCACGTCAGCTATGTGAACACACCAGTCAATCACCTCAGTCCCCCGTGACCACGGTTGCTGGAAAGCAACCGAAACGTCGGGAATATAAAATAAATTAATTAAACGCGATAAAATCCGTAAAAAATAGTTTTATTCAATATGTAGTGTTCGCGTAAATATAAGAAATCATTAAAGAAGACTACAGATGCCTACATCACCACTTACCATCAGGTGGGATTGTAGTTAAGCGCTGGCTTAGAATATAAAAAAGATGCTTTGTCTCCCTTGAGGAATGGAACGCCCCAAGCTTGTAATTATAACGGCTCTCTGTACACTTCAGACAGTAATTAGCTTTCTCTTATTTTTGCCACCAGTAGCGGTGCCTATCCAGACAGACTCCTAAGCAGAAAATAAGTCAAACCACCCAGACTTCGACAGCCCCAGGAGATTTTTTTAGGTGCATTAAGTATGTAAGAAGCTGCAGACAAGCTTGTTTATACCTTACTTTTTTTTTAAATAGAATAACGGAGGAAAATGAGCACACAGTCCACCTAATGGTAAGATTAACCATCTAAGTTTTGTACGTGGTAGAGCCATGCTGCTGCAGCTATATTAGTAGTATAGTTGTAGCACGAATGGGTCGGCTCAACCGGGGAAGGACCACGCTCTCACAGAATACCAGCGTAAAATAGCAGCTTAAGGCTGCTGTGTTTCGTATGGTGACTGTAGAGAACCGGAAACCCTTTTTGCTGGAAAAGAGGCATTCCATCTTAGTCCTCACGGGTGACAACGCATCTGCATTTTGATTCGCAAACGAGGATAGATGTAGATGTCTATGGGCCACAGCAACCACTTACCATCAGGTGGACTGTGTGCTCATTTGTCACCCTATCCTATATAAAAAAAGTGGATGATGTAGCCCATAGACATCTTCATTTATCCTCAATTAAGAATTATTGATAAATTTCGTAGTATGTACCCAATATGACCATAAGTTTTTTTTTATTCAATATAGATTATAAATAATACTTATTGAAAGTCACCTTTTGTTTAATTACCACTGGTTCGAAAAAAATCTCTGTCCTGGGAAGAACCAGCAAGAAACCCAGTGGAATTTTTTTTAAATAACAGCTTACAATCATGTATGTTACACGATTAACCCCACAAAACAAATTAGAAATAGCTTGGTAGCGGTCACCTCATTCCCAGGGGTTATTATCATCCATAATATGTACTATAACCATTAAAACTGTTAATGGCAATTTACCGCTAGCTCAACTATGAACATAAAAACTTGTAAGAACGTTCGCTCGTTATTTAGAGGTCAATAAATTATCATCCCCGTGTAGTGGCGGGTATGAATACTCACTACCTACCCCATATCTTCCATTGGGTGTCGTAAAAGACGAAAGAGGGAAACTGAGGCAGAAGATGGGCAGCAGCATCTTTCTGATAACAGCAAAACAACAATAAAAAAACTGCGGTTGTCAACCCGCTCGCCAAGCGTGACAACTATGGCAATATACCCCCCCTGAAAGTAACGAAGAGACGGCCTTCAGTACCCGGCGGTTCCGCTATTCCTGGCTACGGAGGCGACCATGGTAACGGCGGGGCAGGGGGTGCTAAGAATCTCCGGTGGAGGTTCGGTTGCCACCTACGATGACTCGACCTGGCAACTTATAACGCACGCACCCTGAGAATTGACGAGAAGATCCTGGAGCTGGAAGAAGAGATAGACAAGTTGCGCTGGAATGTCATAGGAATATCTGAAGTCCGAAGAGAGGGGGAGGACACGGTAATCCTCAAATCCGGCAATTTGTTCTACCACCGGGAGGGCGACCATCTGTCCCAAGGAGGTGTCGTATTTATCGTCCACAAGTCTCTCGTTAACAACGTTGTAAACATTGGGAGTGTGTCGACGAGGGTTGCGTACCTTATACTCAGAATCACCAAACGGTATTCGCTGAAGGTCATACAGATTTACGCACCAACATCGGCACACCCCGATGAGGAGGTGGAGGAAATGTATGAGGATATCTCTAGAGCCATGCATTCCTCCAAAACCCACTATACGGTGTTAATGCGAGACTTCAACGCGAAACTAGGCACAAGAGAAAACGGTGAGCTAAAGGTATTGAATTTCGGAATAGGGCAACGGAACCCAAGAGGCCAGCAGCTGGCCGATTTTATGGAGAAAGAGGGACTCTTTATGATGAACTCTTTCTTCCAGAAGCGGCCCCACAGGAAGTGTACCTGATCGAGCCCCAACGGTTCGACAAAAAATGAGATTGACTTCATTATGACGACCAGACGACAACTGTTCAGTGATGTCTCAGTGATCGCGAGGGTGAAAACCGGCAGCGATCACCGAATGGTGAGAGGCACACTGAACCTAAACGTTAAATTGGAGAGTTCACGTCTAATGAAGTCAACGCTCCGTCCACCTCTTGCTCTAATCCAAAGTCCCGAAACCTTCAGCTCGAGCTACAAAACCGTTTTCAGTGCCTAGAAGATTGCAATGCAGTGGACGATATGAATGACAAGCTCGTGGAAACTGTCCATGCGGTCGGAGCTAAGTTTTGCAAGACCCGCCGCAGAAGAACACAAAAACTCTCCGATCACACTCTTAATCTCATGGCTGTTAGACGGGATATGAAGGTGCAGTCTACAGTAGATTAGACAGCATACAGGCATCTGAACAGACAGATCTCCAAATTCATGCGGCGGGACTTACGCAACTTTAATATCTGTCTGCCAGAAAGAGCCAACTGTCGAAGCTGAAGACCGAGTGTGGCAGTGTCGTTTCCGGGACACCTGAGATTTTGAGTGAGATTGAGAGGTTCTATGGGCAGCTGTACACATCATCGTTGGAGCCACACGTAAGTGTGAGTAACGATCTCTTGGATCGCGAGTCTTATCCGACACTATTCCGATGATATCCCGGACGTCAGTTTGAGCGAGATTAGAATGGCTCTCCAGCACCTTAAAAACGGTAAGGCCCCAGGCGAGGATGGAACTACAGCGGAGCTTCTGAAAGCGGGTGGAAAACCGGTACTTGAAGTCCTTCAGAAGCTCTTTAAATCCGTCCGCCTTGGTGGCACTACACTGGAGGCGTGGAGCAGAAGTGCAGTGGTCATATTCTTCAAGAAAGGTGACAACGCTCTCTTGAAAAACTACAAACCGATTTCCCTTCTGAGCCGCATCTACGTGCTGTTTTCGAGACACATTACGAATCGTCTCGCGCGCAGACTTGACAAATTCCAGCCCCCCGAACAAGCCGGTTTCTGAAAAGGCTTTAGCACCATTGACCACATACATACCCTTCGGCAAATTGTACAGAAGTCCGAGGAGTACAATTTGCCACTATGTATGGCGTATGTGGACTATGAGAAAGCCTTTGATTCCGTCGAAATTTGGGCGGTGCTGCAGTCCCTTCAGCGATGCCAAGTTGACTTTCGGTATAACGAAGTGCTGAAGTGCTTGTACAGTAGGGCTACGATGGCTATCCGAGTACAGAACCAGAGTACGAAACCTATCCAATTACAGAGAGGTGTAAGACAGGGTGACGTGATATCCCCGAAACTCTTCACCGCTGCATTGGAAGACGTTTTCAAGCTTCTGGAGTGGAAAGGATACGGTATTAACATCAATGACGAGTACATTACTCACCTTCGATTTGTCGACGATATAGTCCTTATGGCAGAATCGCTGGAGGACCTAAGCACTATGTTCAATGACCTCAATAGTGTTTCCCAACGGATGAGTCTTAAGATGAACATGGACAAAACAAAGATCATGTTTAATGTCCGTGTCACACCTTTGCCGGTAGTTGTTGGGAGCACTAAGCTCGAAGTTGTTGACGAGTATGTTCACCTGGGACAAATAGTCCGACTAGGTAAGTCCAACTTCGACCGAGAGGTCAATCGACGGATTCAACTCGATTGGGCAGCGTTCGGGAAATTACGGTACATCTTCTCGTCAGGTATACCTCAAAACTTGAAAACAAGACTGTACAACCAGTGCGTGTTGCCAGTGATGACCTATAGTACTGAGACGTGGTCCTTCACTGCTGGCCGTATGAGGAAGCTCAAGGTCACTCAGCGAGCTATGGAGAGGGCTATGCTCGGGGTTTCTCTGCGTGATAAACTTAAAAATGAGGATATCCGCAGTAGAACCAGAGTGACCGACATAGCCCAACGGATTAGTAAGCTGAAGTGGCAATAGGCCGGCTATATAGATCGAAGAACCGACAACCGTTGGGGAAGAAAGGTTCTCGAGTGGCGGCCTCGTACCGGCAGACGAAATGTAGGGCGTCCCCCCACTAGATGGAGTGACGACCTGGTAAGATATGCAGGAAGTCGATGAATGCAGGTGGCTCAGGACCGAGCTTCGTGGCATTCCTTGGGGGAGGCCTATGTTCAG